CCCCCCCCCTCCCCCCCCCCCCCCCCCCCCCCCCCCCCTCTCTCTCTGTCATCCTTGACCTGACACAATGCGACCATACTGTTATGGTGGTTTCTGCGACAAGACTTCTCGGATAGACTCACATCATAACTCATAACTCACTCATAACTCTTCTATATTATTTCAGTTTTATCACTTCTATATGTTTCATAGGGTCGCTCATTGGCTTGGAATGGATCGCGATTTACATACACCAATGCAATGCCCAAATGCCATATTAGCTCTGACTACCGACCAATGTCTTTTAAAGGCAAATAAAATTGAACGATAGAGGGAAAAGGCACCCATTCTGTATGTCTTATCCCAAGACCGTGCCATAATTTTAAATTGCAATTTGGTGAACTGACAGCGTTACATGACTACATATCGCATAACTCAAACCAACACGATCCTATTAAATCCATTCGGCAACCACACAGACCAACTCAATTAGTCCAGCACGATCTTGCTAAACGCATGACCCCACCGCACAGCCTAAATTTTTGGTTATAGCTAAACTCAAAAACGAGTTGGATGTCCCGTACTTATCTGCAATTAGCAATCCGAGGTTACCAGCCCAAATTTTAAAGGTTTACATCTCAGAAATTCCGCATTTCCCAATCATTTTAGTATCAGTTGTACGTCTTCGAGCGTGCTTTTCCGCCATTATTTTTTCACTGCATTTCATCCCTTCCATGTGACGTATAATCACTGCCAATGATCCATATGTTTGCAGTCGCAAAAATCCCATAATCTTCCAAAAACAAACCTCCTTGAATGTCTTGCGTTGTCCACTATTAGCACACGAAAAAATAAATAAATAAATAGAAATCTTCCTGAATCTCTAACCACGCTGCAAATGCTGCGAAATGGGATAGTAACTAGGCTTCTTTCCTCCCCCAGCATGAGATCATCGTGACAAATGAGACGGATTTATCTTCTTTTTTTGCAGGGGGGGGGGGGGAGAAGATCATTAGTACTGATGAGGTCGCGTGCTCAACTTCCATTTTACAAGGTGTTTATAAATTATCCTTGCATCCTGCAGGTCTTATTCCTTCGAGACTAATAATGATGGAAAGGTGAAACCACCACGAGTTGCATTAGCTTCTCGTTTCACCGTAGAGGTTTTCGATGTGGCTTCGATTTCTTGACAAATTTCCTCGAGCACCTCTGTTTCGACGTTGGCTCTCGTTGATTTTAGCAACACTGTCTTCAATAAACAGAACGTCAGAGTGAGATCTGACGATCGGAATCCGACGTCCTTGGGCCCCCATGTCCTTATCCGATCGTGGTACTTGAAGGTTCTCGAGCATGTCTCGGTTTCGCTTGAGTGACAGGAACAAACAAAGAAACGCGGTGTTTTCTCAGCTCCCATGAAAGCCGCCATTTTTTTAGCGACTCCTGCGCCGCCAGCGGAATGAATATGAACTTGGTATTCTCTTGGCACAAAACGTGAAATATTTCTGTATCTTTTGGTGCGTGTTTCACCATTCTGTCCTTATTCGTTTCGAAGTAAACAAGTTGTAAAGATAATTTGTGAGCACCCTGTGTATTTGTCCTACTTTTCAGGGGAAAGCAGACGCCTTTTCGAGAAGTTTTGAGGGCAGCAGAGCCTGAGAAAATATACTGGCTACACGAGTCGCTTCTCCAAGGGGAACAGGTCTGATTCACGTGGAGCCAGCCGTATCTGAGAGGTGGCCATTTCACCTTCATCGCAATGGTTGTCACTTTCGTTTGAGTCATGAGGGAGAGAGCGAGAAAAGAAATGAGTAATCGGACTTTGACACGAGGGTGCAAAAGGAAATGGAGAAACGTAAAAAGGTAGAGGATGAGAACGAAAGAGCGAGAAGATAGCGTTCGACTCTTTGGAAGGGAGAAGAATTTAGGGTATGGGAGCGTAGAATCCCCTCGTATTCGCTGGGACAAAGCAGCAAACGACCAGGAGTTGGGAAAAGGGACCAGTCCGCGGAAGTAGCGACGAGCCGGGCCCTAGAGGACCGACCGAGCCCGCGGGTTCATCCGGGGGGACGGCTCCGGGTCATCCCGCGGTTCGAGAGATGAGGCCCGCGAAAAGTTTCTCGAGCGGCTGCGCAGAGCAGAACAAGAGGGGAAGCGTAGTGGAGGTCGACATCAGAGAGCGGCAGGACGCGGTGACTCTCTGTTATCTTTTGACTCGAGCTCCTCGCGCTCCTCCTCCTTCCGTCAGCATTTTGTTTCGTTCTAGCGACAAGATTCCTCGAAGGGGTGAGATCGGGGGTGTGAGTGGAGTGCGGGGTGTCCGTTGCGAATCAGAGTGCCAACGCAGACACCGTGCACGAACTCCATTGCAGCCCGACAGCTCGTGTTTTTCCCGATCTCCCGACTCAGTGTTCGACATGTCCGAGGTGACGACTCCCACCCAGAGCCCAGCGGATGGCTTCCACATCACTCGACTGCGAAGCAAAAGACTCAAGTTTCGTCGTCACACGGAGCCGGACCACGCCCTCTGCTATTCCGTGTTTTGGCAGGATCCGCCTCAGAGTCTCGTGGACACCACCATCGAATTCTTGAAACGAAAGGTGAGGAAGGTCGAGGGGAGGCTACGAAATACTCATTATCATCAATTCTTCATCGCTTCATGACCCATTCACAACTTACGACAGAAAGATAACAATAAAGAAGGACCGATGTCGTAACGTGTATTGTGTCCCCTTCTTGTTCCCTTCCCCCCGAGGCGTCGAAAGCCTAATCGCGGGATTCTTCCTCATAACGAGGCATTACGCAACCCTCACCCCCTGAAATCTTCGTGCTTCCCGCGACCAACGTAAAAATCAGCCCTTTCCCTTGACGAGCATGTGATGATGGAGAAGCCTTGTGCCAGATCGTTTAAGGGATGATTGATGATGTTCCTCCAGTACGAGGGCGAGCTGACGTGTGCCGTCGACGTCGGCTGCGGCCGCGGTGATTCCACCGTCGCCTGGGCCTCGCATTTCAAGTCCGTCATCGGGACCGACGTGGATCCGGCCAGGGTAGGGAGTGCAAAGAAAATGCACCTCAACAGCCCCAACGTCAAATTCGTGTAAGATGCTCATTTTCCATCCATTTACAGACGACCTCGTCTGTTGCAATTAAACTCCGACGAGACGATGTAAAAGAACCGAGGGATGACAGACGTCCTCACTCGAGGCGATATGAAAATAAACAAGGATGAGATGCCCCCCCCATGAAGGTTCACATGTGTAGATTTCAATTCGCAGGCTCAGCTGAATCGTTGCTTTCGCCACACCGTCGTACAATTTTTTTCGCCGGAGTCCAACATGTAAAAAACACTGGGAAAGATGTCGAATCCCTGTCTGGCAGATGTAAATGGATTTTTCTCTGGGTAGATGGATCGACAGAATAGAGGGAGACGCGATCGGCGAAGCATGCCAACGAGATAATTACATTCGCTTTCCATAATATAAGGACGATCCCCGAAGATGGAAGGCTTTGATCCTTCCGGAGAAATCCCTGGGGCAGCAGCTCTAAAAGGTCGACTTCATCAGGGCTTTATGCAGGTGTGAAGTAGCCAGAGGATGTTCATTAGCATAACTGGAATGGACAATATCAGGCGCGTGGTGTCCGGATAGTTGCGGTAATACGACCTTAAAGGACCTACACCCCTTTGGAATCAGATCGTACAAATGATGCAGCAGAACGTCGAGAACAAGCAGAACAACGCTATCAATCGTGACAGAACCAGAATGCTTTCGAAGTCGTCTCGCGACGCTATCTCCAAGTATGACACATTTTTATGCAGGTGCTGCGCTATCTCCGCTATCTTTCACAACACCAGTTGATGTTTTCGCTTCAGTGCTTCCCGGAAAGAGATCGCTGGCGTCGTTCAGCTGTTTACGTAGTCTGGATTTCTTGCTCCTTGTACTAGGTTAGGTGATACAAAAGTTTGACCCCCTCAAGCTCAAGATCTGCCGCCTCTCCTACGTTTTGAAATTAATTTTTTTTTGCGATCTATTTTAGTCGAGAGGAAAATGCACACACCATCCATTCTCATTTTGAGACTGAACATGGATTTAATTTTGTTGCAGAGGGCTGTTTGGATCTTAAGAATTACGTTGAATTATTTAACGTGGGGCGGACATTACAGCAAGGCCGGAATTTGTCTCACCTACCTTTTATAGCACGTGCCACAATTTATTTTGCAGTCATTTTTCCCGTTTATACCTGTATATGGCAAAGGTTGGCATGTCTTAAGCAGACGTTTGAATCTCAGCTTTCAAACCCAAAGCTACTCTCGAGGATGCATACTGCTTAAAATCTTAATTTCTTCTCGGTTTGTCACTATGCCAATGGGGATCTACAGGAACGTTTCAAGGTATCAAGGTAGTTTAGTGGTATCAACAGGCGATAACACCCATTTGGATACTACATGTGGAGGTCGAGCGTTCCTCAATTTTAGGGTAGGCCTACTCCTCTTAAAGCTAAATATTACTGTATTTTAATGATTTTTAAAAGCATATCGTAGTTGCTTACTGCCTAGTTCCTTACGCCGACACTGCCCCCCTTTTTGCATGTCCATAGACTCATCTAGTTTCTTCTTGAAAATAGTCACGGAAGGAGCAGCCACTACGTCGTCATCTAACGCATTCCACGCGTTCACCACTCTACATGCAAAGAAGTCCTGTCTCGACCTGAGCCGCACCTGCGGTTTACGCAACTTGAGTTGATAATCTCTCGTTCTCTTGCTGCCATCGAACTGGAAGAACCTACCACGCTCTACATGATCTATTCCTTTATTATCTTGAAAGCCTGAGATCGCCCCTCCTTAACCTTCTCTCTCTCGAGTACAGTCCCAATACTTCTAAACGCTTCTCGTACGGAAGTCCTCTAACCTCCTTTATCATTCTCGTGGTCCTCCTCTGTACCCCCTCGAGCGCCAACAATTCACCCTTATTTGTAGGCCTCCAAAACCGGATGAAATATTCCAACTGGGGTCGCACCAGCGCCGCACGCAACGGAAGAATAACGCGCGAATTCCTACTTGCAACTGAACGATGGTGGTAGGTGGTAGTAGCTTTTGTCAGCAGATAAACATCAATTTCCCAAAACTCCCATCTCATGTCGTGCGTAGAGTTCGTACGTGTTGCAGATGAAGTTGTCAAATTTTCTCGTTTCTTGGGAATCGGTGAAGATGAAAGCATCGCTGCAGACTACTCAAAAGAATTCAGATTAAGGAGATATACAGTCAGGCGCTGTCTCGCTTCCCGGTAGCTCCTGCATCATTTCCTTTGAGACGCCCCCAGACGGAAAATTCAGTTACAGTTCTTTATGCGTTTCTAGGGTTAATATTTATAGTGAATCGCGTCACCAACTCATAGATCACTCTCCGGCTCTCGTCGGTTATCTTTTCATGCCGTCTATGAATATTTCATAAGGCCTACTTTCAAAGTTTAATTTTAAAATTTATTTGCTGCATGAAGGACTTGAAGCTGACTTTATTTCGACCCTTAGCAAATGCTGCTACCTACTCCGATTTTTGTCAAGGACATTCGTTAATTCGTTTTCAAATTTCTTTAATTTTACTAATTCTTCATCATTTCAAACACGACAGTTTATTCAGCAATTGAAAGAACCCTTCGCCAAACCGTTGCGTGCCAATGGAAGGCATTCGAACTAATTCCAGAGCATTTTGAGGATAAGAAGTCACTCACGGCATCGTGCTTAGCACGATATCACGTAAGTCCTTTCCTTGGAAAGCCAATGAATCCACTTTGCGGTTCAAACAAATGCGACGATCATTGCGATAAAGGCGAACGGCTTACACCACGTAGATCGAATTTGGGAAAGGAAGTAGGGGAACGTGTTCCCCTTGGGAATGAGGCTCAAGTGTGGCCAGTGGATTTTCCGCCTTTGTTGCCCTTTAAGCTTCTCAAGATCGCGTCTGGTTTCACCTGAAAAAGTAAAAGTATAAAATGCAATTTCTGCACGAGATCTCATCAGCACTAGTACAACGACCAAAACCGATTGAACACGATCCGTCTTTTCAGTTGCTCTCATCCGACATGGTAAACTCGCAATCGCGGCTCAAGGACACCATACAATACGACGGTATGCAGTCTACGATAGTATTCCCCATGTAACCTTGCCATGGTGTTCGTTGAAAACCATTTCTCCGACGAGATGGAAAGAGTAACAAGCCGAAAAAAAAATTTTTGACTGACGAAGAAGTTTCAAGGCATCAGACGTTATCGTGCAGAGAAATAAAAAACCTAGGGTGGATTTTTGAACAGAGAACTATACGATAATGCAGCTTTATTCCAAGGAAAATACATGATATTTCCTGGAAATAAAGCAGCATTATCCGATAATGCAGCTTTATTTCAGAGAAAATGCATTATAAATCCGGNGGATCGAGATGATTAGAGGGGAATCGATGGTGAATCTGATTAGAAGTGCACCGGAGTGCATGCAGCTTTTACCGCCTGGCTTCATGCATGTAGCTCTGCAGCACTTCTACTTTCCGGGAGTGCACTTTTCCCCATTATTTCCCGCTCTTGCTGTACCATCCAGCTCCACCCATGCGTCCAATGAAGAATGACTAGGAGTCCAACTATTCCTGACGTCCCATCGATTCTCTCTTTTCCTATTAGGTTATGTATCCCTATCATTCATCAGGATCATGTGAATTTCATGCTCGATGCAGTAGTCAGATTATCAAGGCAATAGGACGGGTTGATTGAGCAGGTCATTGCGATTGCACGTGTGGGAAGGTTCTCCATCGAGACACGAGCTGGAATAAAGAGATAAAGAGGGAGTGATCAGGGCGACAAGTAAATCCGCCATGATAGTTCTTCTATTCGCATTTCAAACGGAAGTCGAGGCCTTTGAAAATGATGATAGCCCATATCGATTGCATTGCAGAACTCGTTCCCTTTCCCCCCCCCCCCTCTTTATTCAGATTGTCTTCCTTTCTTCCCTGCTTATTTCAGGGAGATCTCCTGGGAAATGATTTTTTTATTTTCAAGCACACTGCAAACTAAGCAAACGGGGACGTGACTCTAGAAGAACAAACGTTATCCCTTGATCTCGTTCAACTAAGATCGGTCGATTTATCGGCTCGGTCGACAACATATGGCCTGCAGAAAAAGAAATATCGACGCTATACCATCCTTTCTTTCCCCCTGCCAAGGGAAGTCTGGAAAAAAAAAAAAAACTAAAAGACCAAACCATTAGAGAGCTTGGCCTGGGCCATTAATTCTCGATTAATTTTCGTCCGCATCTGCAGACAAAAAAAAAAGCGCGACCGAGGCTTATGTTACGGAGCGAGAGGTTTCCTTTTCGACATGTGATATTTTTCAATCATGCATGTCGAGGACGTACTTTCACTACGTGCTTCTCTCCGGTCGCAAGAGAGTGAGTGACTTAACGAGGCATGGCGTTCATGTCCTTGCCCTTTTTGCCACTGCTGACACACTGATCGCTTTCTCTCCTTTCTGGGCCTAAGATTTATTTGTAGTGAGCCTTCTTTCAGAAAAGAAAAAGAGGTCATCACCTGTCCTATATATCCGTCCTATCCGTCCGCCTGTCTACGTGTCGCACCACTTTCGCTGTTGGACGATGACTTGAAGAAATATTAGCGCGGTTGCTTTGAAAACCGGTACTAATATTCAAGGCACGGACTGAGCTCGTTCTGTGTTCGAAGTTTTCTTACTTCCTTCGCAAGAAAAATTTTTTTGCAAGTTTTGAGCGAAAAGTATGCGATTGAGTGGTCACTACTGGTCAGACAAGAGGGAATTTCACGTTCTTCCCGATTCGCGATTAGATTATTGGTTGCATCTTGTTGGATGAGGTGACAGAATGAAGTCCATCCCTAATATGATACCCACCACTGGCTTGCATCTTAATTGAAAATCTTCTAAATTCGGGGAGGAAGTCTTTCGAGAGGCCTCTCGAGTCGGCTCGACGGGATCGAGATGATTAGAGGGGAATCGATGGTGAATCTGATTAGAAGTGCACCGGAGTGCATGCAGCTTTTACCGCCTGGCTTCATGCATGTAGCTCTGCAGCACTTCTACTTTCCGGGAGTGCACTTTTCCCCATTATTTCCCGCGAGAGATCCCTGCCTGCGGACCCGAGCTTTGAAAGAGGTCGGGTCGCGTGACTTCAGAGAACCCCACCTGGTTTGGGTTTCATTTCCTCGGTTCCTCTTACACAGGTGCTCGTGTGGACTATATTCCGCCCCCCGCCAAACCGTTTGTGTCCCTGGTTCCTGGAAAGTTCGGCCATAAAGTAGGGAATCCATCCGTGTTCCTCTCGGTGATGCCTCACAGGAAAACGAGAACACACAGACCGGCGATAGAACTATTCCCTGATACCCCGGTGAAAAGGCCTCTCACTCCAATTTATGTTGGACTCGTCGTTCGAGCCTCGATGACAGAACGTGCCACGCCTCGTTCCCTCTTTGAACTTGCAGTTCTAAATCTCCTTCGTCTCTACACGTCTATTTTTAGGATCACCCAGGTCGCTCTCCATAATACACGCCAGGAATAAGCCGAATAATGTTCCATCTTGAACCCTGTAAAAGTTTCCCCCAAGCCCCTTAAAGGCCACGTGAGTCTGTCCTTTAAAATTGCAAATCAGATCGGACCGGTCAAGGACGAAACGGGAACGTCAAAAAGCAATGGCATCGGAGTTCCTTCGTTTAATGATTCCGATAAATTATCGGGCGTGCCCTATCGCAAGGGACACCTTATAGGTTGACAGAAAATTTGCATCTTCATGACTCACATTGCCTCTGCAGTCTCATCACGCGCTGCGGATCCCACTTCTTTATGGTTATATTCTCTGCCTGTGTGGTCTCTGGGATGTGTTTTGTGTTGTACCGAGTTGTAATGTTGCTTGTCATCGTAATGCAGAAGCCTTGTAGTACCGACCAAAAAAAGGGAACTGGTATCTCGTCACGTCTATTCAGTCCAAGACTCCTGCAGCGGTACCTAATTGAAAAAGTTATCACAACACTTCACCATCACCCCCGTACTTTTTTTCCTATGGAAAAATGAAGTAGACTGCTTTCGAAGCTGTCAACTGTGAAGTTAATGAATGTGAACTTCGGAGATGTTCGATATATTCAGCTAGAAGACTGGATAAAATGAAACATCACTCAGTGTGATTTATATCGGGTCATTTCTAGTTGCTCAATGGTCGATGACACTTATATATGAGATATCCCGGGATATCCGGGGATATCTCAACCCACTTCCAAGATAATCCAATCAGACTGCTTAGTCTCTCAATTTATTTGCTGTCGTCAGTGTCATGTCTCATCCGTGCTCGTGATCAGACATTCAAAGGATAGAACTGCAAGGGCACGATCGAAGCAATTTTTTTTCGCCTGACAGTTGATGTTATATAATATATACCTTATGTGGCAACGTGAAGGATCAGGTCCTAGGATCCGACAAATTAATGCCCGGCTCGGTTGACGTCATCGGATACTGTGTCGCATCCAAACCTAATGAAGTGGCTTATGTGGTATTCCCCATCTTCTCAATCATCAGATGGGACCTTTTCTTTGCTATTTTCCTTTAGTCTCTCGCGAAAGCGATCGAGTTTTATGTCGAGATGAAATCGAACCTGCCCCAACGGCATTCTGAACCTTGGAGCTTTTGCCCAGGGTGTTTTCGTGATACTCTATGATTTAAAATGCATAATTCGCGCGCAACGTGTCAACATCAAGCTTCAGCTGGGATGGGATTTCCATAGAAATAGCGGCTGCAGAGAGGCCGAGAAAGGGATGCTGCGATGCAGGGGCTTTTGCGGTCGGGAATAGAAGATGGGTATAGACTGCTAAGTCTCCCACCCGGAGAGAATTCGCGGGTATCGATCTCGAGTCTTTCTTCGGTCGTTGCTCATGTCGGTTCCTTTCCGAGGTAGAGAAAGGAACTTTTTTTCACCTGCTCATTCTTTGATTCGGAGCCAGAACCGACATCAAGCGGAAATGATTCGGAAACGAACGAACCCAAGGTGAATCGAGACAGCGAATCCATGATTTAATATGGAAAAAATAAACGAAAGCAAACAATTCTTGGCTTTTTTCTCTTCATTCTCGGAAGAGACCATCAGAATTGACTTGGAAAACAGCGAAGGAAGCCGGGGGAATTTTCTTTGGTCTCGTGACCTTGTATGGCCACCTTTGCCGGGGCTATTCCGTGGTTTGCTCTGCTGCTCGTCAATAGGGAAAAAATTTCGAATTTCCACGATGCGAAGCAGAAAGTTCATTATCTCGAGACGAAGGGCAAAGCTTGTTTATTCCTGGCACCTTGCCATCGGGGGTAAGCTATGAAAAAGTAAAACCGCTCGAAGTGATGTATTGCTCTTCCAAGTCAAATCGAGACGAAAAATCTTATACAACATGGAAATTCAAATACGTCTGAGACTATGTTTTGCAGCTGCCAGGAACTATCGATTGGTTCAAGAGGAGAAGTAAATTTTACAGCTTGGAAAGTGCATGAACTTTCAGAAATTCAAATTCGACACGAGAACTTCAGATTGTGAAGTAAAGGTAACGGGAAGAAATACCTCGGTAGCATCGATAAATAATTTAATGTGCCTCTGTCGGACTGATGGTTCTTGCCGTTGCTCACTTTAATTTTATCCTGGAATCCCGAACACTGCGGTGGACCTAGGATCGACGTTGGTTCCAAATGTGATGAAACCAATCTTGAACGTTGAGCTTCAATTTATATTTTGTCTGTAAAGGGCCTGCATCCGCTTCGTTGCGGCCGTGAAGTGAATACCAGCGCGGGATGTCCCCATTGTATGGAAAATTTTCACTTTCGGATGGCACACATTCTAGGAATTCAACAACGACTTAAAAATGAAGGCACTCCTTGGGTGAAATTATGCTATCTAGTCCTTTTCCTTTGCAGGAGATGATTTTACGATGCAGAAATGTCACTTAAAAGTACGTATTTCGAACATGGAAGTCAACGGGCATGATCTTGAATGAAAAAAAAAAACAGGAAAGAGGATCCGTAGAAAAACTCAGGACTGGGCTACGAATGCATGAAGTGGTATGCAATGAATTTATCATATTCCCTCATCGTCCACTCAGGAGAGGTAACAATGTCTCGCGGGTGCTCACTGGGATGACAGAATGCACTCGTCGGGGTGTCCTTAAGTTTCGTCGGTGTTCTCAGTTTCTGGAAAGCTTCCAAGGAATGATGACAAAAGTCGCACGATAAATATAGTTTCTTCGAGACATCCTCTATTCTATTCCTGTTTGACTTCATTTGGTTTGGACGCACTCTCTACATGGAAGCTACCTTTATTTACAGAGCCTGCTCATATTAGACTCTAGTGTTAAAAATTGGGGAAAGAGTACAAGTGCGCAAATTTCAGCAGTTTTCTTCTGTCAGATCTTTTGCTTTCGCAGTTATAGTCTAGAACACGAGACTCATTATGGTTAATTTGAAATAATAGGGTTTATTGAGCTTAAAGGCCGCATATCCGAAGAAATTTAATATATTTCTGTACCACTACGTTTTGCTAAATTAAACATCAAAATAATTGAAAAAAGGTAAAATATTGCAGTAAATGCACTTAGGTCTGAATTTAAAGCCTAGCGACTTCTATCTTCTTTGCCTGTCAGATTGGCCTTCGAGGAAGGCGTATTCCGCAGTGGCGAGGAAGTGCCTCAGGCAATGCGTGCTACTTTGGCATGCCCGAAGAATTCTTAGCAAATGACAAAGAAGTGGGTTCCGCGCTGAAGAATGTGCGTCAGCCGTGGCGTGGGAAATCAATCGTGTCCGAATTCATTCGCATGCATCTCACATGTACTCGATGAACACATTCCGCCCTTTACTTTTGAATACCCCCTCGTATAAACTTCGCATTTGAAATTACCATCTCCGCATTTGACTTGGAAAAGCGGGCATAATTACGGATTGACGATTCAATTCACAGGGTCTGCCCAGCAGAAAGTCTGAGCATGGGAGACGAGACGGTGCAGATGCTGGGATCGAAGGCGGCCCACTGGTTCGACATCCCGGCTTTCTTCAGCGAGGTCTACCGCGTCCTCGCTCCCGGAGGAGTTTGTGCACTCTTCAACTGCAAACTCGTTCCGTCTGCCTTCCCGAGCCTTTCCCCTCAGGACGAGGCCCAGCTCATGGACGTCGTGAAATGGGTAAGCTTCGGTCATATTTCATCGGGGTCTTGATTGCCTCGCACATCGAGTGAAGGCAATGCGAATATTTTGAATTCCATCAATACGAGTCTTCCATCCATCATTGTCGTCTCGGGGATGCTCTCTCGGGGTAACTCAACGCTGCGAGGAAGTGTACGTAGGAGATGCCTTGCAAAATATTTATATTTCTGGAGACCTGCCCATCCATCACAGTGCTCTTCCGGTATTTAATTGTTCCCTCTCACCTCTGCCAAGTTGCCCTGTCACGGTGAAGAAAGTAAGGTTGCGCATGTCGAGTGAAAAGATTAATTTCCTCTGCTACGGACAAAAGTAGTTATGCAAAGGGGAACAGCGATGGTAGGATGGTTCATTTCTTTTCCCCTGTGAAAAAGTTCCCGTCATAACTTGCGGTGGATTTCATCATGATGGGCGTAGGCGTCATTTGAGATCCGGCCGTAAAAAGTCATACTTTCCCACCATCGTGCCGCCATAGAGTCATTATCGAGTATTGATTTAGGAACTATGATCCTGAAGGCAGGAATCGTAAAGCAAACTGGTGTGAGGGTAAGGTAAACGAAATTTCTCAGCAGAGGAAACCTTCATCGACGGGAGAAATATACAAGGAAATATGCTGCAACGGAAGATATATTTATGTATTCCATAGCAAGAAACGAAAAGTTATGGGAGAGGGATTGCACTTTGCAAGTAATAAGCAATGAAACCATTTATTGATAATTTACATAAATTACAATGTGAAAGCTTAGGCCCCTGGTTTCTATGCTTTCCTGAAATGGGACATAATTTGTATACGGTAATCATTTGCATAATTTGTTGGAATACCATGATGTCAGTTTACCAGAAAAAAGGGAATCCAGATCCTTTTCAAAGAAACCTCTTCGAATTTATCATTTTGTTCATTTTTCTGCCTAGATTGATTCACACACTTTACGCTTGACAATCTGCTTTCCTTCAAACGGTGATATTCACTGTTGATGCTGACGTTGGCATAGCCAACCCAACCATCTCAGTCAAGGGCTGAGGATGATTGAGATTTGCGTCACGCGGGTCCACCCGTGTTTCCCTTTCGATTTCTTTGTTAACCTTAGCTTTCTCGAAGAGTTCAGCGACCCACCTTAGACGCTGTTAATTTTAAGGCTTTTCCTTGTTATTTCGATGCGACAGGTGATTCGGATGACAAACGACCGATGTCAATGAACATTGGTTACTTCGTTGCCTAGAATTAAAAAATTCACATTACCACATTGTATAATTTCTCCAGAACTGTTGCATGAAAATGCAACGATGTGATTGAATTAGTTCCAGTGACTCACGCAGATCTTTTAAAAGATTTCAGTTTCCTTATATGGACGTCTCGACCGAGCTTTGTAAGCTCCCCGTGTATCAGAAGGCTAGAAAGAAAAATGAACCAATTTGTTCTTTCCCTGTAATTGATGTTTTTATTAGATTGAATCTACGAAACTCGTTTTCGGGGACCGTCCCCTTCCCCCCCCCCTCATAAATGCGTTCCATCCAAAACCATAAAGAACCTGGGAAACAAACGCGCCGCGGTCTCCATTCTCTTAACCCCATGAACTATATTCTGCTTACACCCAAGTCGAGGAAGCCAAATATCTTCGAAACCCGTTTTCGGGGCCCCCCCCCCCCCCCCCCCCCCCCCCCCACATCCAATTCATGTTAAGGTAGATAACCTGCGCCTTGTCTCGAGAACTTGGCCATGCCCTGTTTGGATGTCCTCGTACTCCTTTGCAATATCACGATAACTGTATAACTGGTTCTTTCGTGCACTCCGTCTAACTTCTAAGGCAGAGCTTCCCAACCTTTTTCACGCTCGACCCCAAAATTCAAGATCATACCATTTGGGACCCCAAGCACTGGCCGACAGTTCGACATGCTCACCCATCTATGCACTAAAATAGCAAAGAGAAACATAACTTGACATTTAGCTGCCGGTTCGCGACCCCAAATATGATCTTGGCGACCCCAGGGTTGTGAAGCCCTGTTCTAAGGGATAGCGAGAAATGTGGCTTTCCCCTGTTGGATGCATTTCCCAAATTTTCTCGGAGACTGAGTGATGACATTTGGCTTGGTAAAAGATAAATGCCTAAAAAAAAAAAGGTAAAACTATAAATGAGCAAATTTTCTTTTTAAGCTTGAAACTTTATTTCTTACATTTTGATTGGTTAAGATGGAGAAAAGAAGTGAGGCGTCGGGCCTTTTGGGATTGGGATTGGGACCTGGCTCTGTGTTGATTGCCTTCTGCCAGTGTATTTGAACATGATGGCATGCTATTTTCCTCTGTCAATTTACAGGCGGATTCTCGGTTGATTAAGTACTGGCCGAAGGAGAGAAATCACATTCTGGAGGAATACCGCAGCATCGATTTTCCCTTTAGGGACAAGGAAGAAGTGAGGTAAGGAAAAAGGTCTTCACCTATCCACGTTCATAAATCTCCCTGAATTAGTATCCTTGCCGTTTATAGACTCCCATAAAAGCCTGTCTACCAAGAAATGGATTAATTGACTTGCAATGACGTAGTTCTCGCCTGCTAAATTTAATATGAGTCCCTTCTTATTGGAGATGAAATCTTTATTATACATGAGGAGCATATATACGAGGAGCCGGATTCCCTCTCTATTCCAGGGATACCATCCTATATCACGACGTGGACTTGAAGGTTGGGGAATTGACGGAGTACATTCAAAGCTGGTCTGCGTTCCAAGGCTTCCAGGAGAAGGAAGGCGAGGCGGCTGCGCAGGATTTCATGCAAACTTTCAACGAGAGGTCCTTCGCTTCTTCCATGAGTTTTAGTCTGCTCGCCGGTAAGAATTCTGAATCAAACGTGTCTTTGTGTTGCAGAATCCGCAAAGTGCTGCACGAGGCTACCGAAGTGAAAGCCCGCTTCCATTATTTTCTTCTCCTCGGTCGGAAGAGCATGAGTTGAGGGAGAAGGAGCAGCGGGCCAGAGGACAGAGTTGTTAACAAATTGCTTTCGAAATGTGAGAGAAAAAAAAAAAGATACCGGATGATATGAAGAACCATTGTGCCCCGAAGTGTAAGAACCAATCACATTCCGGGTGTGATCATGAGCCAGAATGTTATCCTGCCTATTCACACAAATATATTGCTTCCCCTTCTCTGCGTCGATTTTTGTTATTTTGGACGACCGCCATGAAGTCTGCCATCCACATGGTATTTATTTACCCGCAAAAATGCGCTGCGAGTGGAAATGGGAGATATTTGGCTTCCTCGACTTGGGTGTAAGCAGAATATAGTTCATGGGGTTAAGAGAATGGAGACCGCGGCGCGTTTGTTTCCCAGGTTCTTTATGGTTTTGGATGGAACGCATTTATGAGCGGGGTACTCCGCATCTGATATGTATTCATTCAGGTGGATTGACCTGAAAGCGACAGGAATATGTCACTCGTGGACCTATGGTAAAGCTGATCTGACTAAGAGAAGGGATAAGAAACGGGGACTCGACTCTCGTTCACGACGTCGTTATCGTTATTAAGAACATGGTAGCTACTTCATCTTCTCGAGTGTCTTTCTCCGAATTGCCCTTACGATGGCATTCACGAGACGACGAGCTCGAAGCTAAGCCAGATCGTCTCCACTGCGCAATGTCGGACGCGCCAAACCTTTTGGGAGTTGAGAACCGACATGCATTTCCCTCATGGACTCAATAACGCTCTCTCCCCATTCCAGCTCCGTTCGTGCCTTTCCTCCGCTGCACGATTTTCCTTTGAAAAACCATCGCAACGAAATTTACCGTTCCTTGTTGGGAAGACGGAGCTGCTTCGACCTCGTAAACGATCTTTTAAACAACGACCACAATAAAAATTATTCTGACGCATGGGTTCCGACTTCTGGAAGGAATGGCGCTGAGACACGATACTTTTCAGGCCGCGTCCGCACCAGAAAGTTTTCGACGCAATTTTTCTTTGCAAGTCGACTTGCATAGGAAACTTTCATGGTGGTCTTTGAAAGTCTTATAATATGCAAGCTTTTCAATGCTCTGGGAGATTTCTTCGAAAGTCTTCTTTCAGAAAGATTACTTTTGCAGCCTTCATTCATCGTTTATGCAAGAAAACTCCCTGGTGTGGGCGAGGCCTTATCGTGTGACCCTATATTACAGGCAACCGGCAGAAGCTTTGCGTTTTTTTGGCTAAATTGAATTTTCCTAAATTGCAATTTGAAATTTTATCTCAGGAAGCAAATATTGCCGTTCCCCGGCAAGCGAAGGGACTGTTTGATTTCTGAAGCCATCGAGATATTTTAGGCTCATTTATGATCCGCGTGGTTCATGGTGGTTCATCGTTCCTCTGGAACGCGAAGCAAATAAATATTATGCCTTCAGAACAGTAGGGCGTATGCATCGGGGAGTAGATTAACATTTGATAATGTTCAGATGTCATGTTCGTTTTCGTGACAAGGCCGAACAAAAAATGAAAGAACAAAAGAGGAACTCCCTCGTCGTTTTATCATCGTCGGAATGATGAGAGGAGCTTCTTTCTCAGGGAGCTTCTTTCCCTCGCATTCGCCGGTGGGGAGTGGGCCGAGTCGGGTTGGTGAGGAGTGGGCCGAGTCGGGTTGGCGGGGAGTGGGTCGAGTCGGGTTGGCGGGGAGTGGGTCGAGTCGGGTTTATTCGGGTCTTGCTCGAGATGCGGTGCGAGACCGTTTTTTTTTTTAGGGGGGCGTGTTGTGAGTTTTCGTATGGTGATTTTGCATTGTGAAATGCTTTAATACTGCGAGAGGGGTTAAGTATTAGGTGTGACCTTGAGCTACATCAGGGGGATCTCAAATGCAAATTATCAGGAAGTTTTGTGGCTCTGTCAGAAAAAAAGCTGTTCGGTTGGGTTATTAGTGGGATTTTGATACCAGCTGCAAGTCAAATGACAGGAAAAGTTACTTTAGTGATGAAGGAACTCATTAGTTGGAATTACTTGTCCCGTCACTCTGATGCCATGCAAGATTAAAAGACAACTTGGGCTACGCAACCACCACTGTATTTCAGTGACAGTACTAAAACAGTACTATTATCAGAGTTCTAGCCAGACTGGGCGGTTCGTCCAGTTGCAACTTAAGAATTTCAATTCAATTCTGCAGTTCGTCCGCCTGGCTTAAAAATGCATCCGCTTAAGTGAAAACAGAACTTATCTTGGAGTATGCCTGTTTTTCCTCTCTGAAAGTCCCTAACCGATGGCGACAGATGAACTGCATCAATGCTAAAAAAAAAAAAAATCACGAGTCGAGCAGCGAGACGCCCTTTCCAGCGTCTGCCTGTTCCTTCACATGACAAATTAAATTCTCAGAAAGAACTCCCTAGACGAGGGACATTCATCTTGAGGATTTATAAGATCTCTTGTCCTTATGAGGAGAGCCACAAGTTCCGGACGTCCAGGGTTTCTCCTCGGCTGAAAAAAAAAGTTTTCTCTCGTTACCGGCGTCTACGAATTCCCACTCCAGATGTACGTCACTCGTAAACGGGCGTAAGGCAAACCGGATTCAGCTGTGAGGGTCCGACTTTTTTTTTCCACGAATGTCCTGTCAGTGCACGTGTCTCCTGTTCTTTCTCCACTCCACTCCTTTTTTTCTTGGTGATTTCTTGAGGAAGAGTGGATTGCGGCCAAGGTCTCAGGCTAGAGACTCGAAGACTGCACTTCTTCGTGACAAGAAGAAAATGTAGATGAAGTTTGTCGCCATTCATCCTCTCTTCCTCTGTTAATCTCTCCCCCCCCCCCCTTCCCCCCCCTTCCTCATTCCTCATTGCGTTGCTTCCCTTTTAACTGAGAGCTAGCGACTCTTAAAGGATGAGGGAATTTTAATCTCCGTCCTCGCCTTCCCCTCTTTCCGTTCCCCTTTCCCC